CAGCCCACACACACACACACACACGCAGACTCCACTTCTGCTCACAAACAGGATGTGACATACCAAGGCCCGGCTCGTTTTTGTTTTCCTCGTTTCCTATTAGATGAGATGGTATAAATGAGGTCTAATTGTGCAAGAAATGTTCTGTGTCTAATGAGGGGGTCTGTATCATACATTGTGTGTGTGGGCCGTGTGTGTCTGCCTGCACACCCGTGCACAACATTAAACAAAATGGACATTTCAGAGATAAGTTATGACTTTTCAATCGTAGCTTGATGCGCGCATTCGAAGGCTGAAAAGGCCGTAACAGTAAAAAAAGGACAGGCAGAGAGTTGTTTGGGGAAACGAGATACGATCGTCTTCCTTGTCACTGTAATTTTATATCGCCAAGTACATAACTATATAGTGATAAAGTTACATCGTCTGGAAATAAATGTTGGACGCAGTTATAATCAGATGTGAATGTTTATAACCAATTTTTCCACGTAAATATCTGGAAAATCAGGTCACTGTCAAAATCCTTTGTTTCTGAAGTGGGCCCGCTCACTTATTTTGCCACCAGTAATGGCCTAAAAGAGGCAGAGCTGTCAAAGGCAAAGACGCCATGTTATATATTGTGTATCAAAATCATCTAATGAAAGCCTTTGCCAGATCACCATGCTCTAATCTATCCACAGAAAATGCTGTTGACCTCTTCATCGTTGTTTTCAAAATGCCATGTCAAGGACCTGATTGGTAAAGAGGAAAAGTTACCACAGTTGTGCTACTTTAAAAAATTGAGTTTTACCAAATTCAGTAGAAATCATGCAATCTGTTCCGTAGTTGCAGAGATGGAACGGCCGACTGTACAGCATAAAGAATTAAAATAAAAAGTTTTTTTGGCAGATGAAAGATTCATAATCCGATTGATAATATTGAATGGACAGAGGTGGACAAAAAGAAAGAGCCGTTTGTTAAACTACACAAACATGACATGCTATCTTTATATGTGCATCAATTGTTAATTCCTTTTTGCTCTGTTACGAATCTAACTCCTCTCCCTCCTGCTGTCGATGTGGTGCAGGGGTAGAGCGGGTGCGCCGGGAAACCACAAGGTTGGTGGTTCGAGCCCCGGCTGCTCCATGTCCCATGACGAAGTGTCCCTGAGCAAGACACCCAACCCCTAATTGCTCCCCGGGCAAAAATGTAAAAAGCCATGGGTTAAAAACGTAATGTTAGTCGCCCTGGATGAAAGCGGCGGCTAAATGACCTGTAATGTAATGGGTTTTTTTCTTACTGGGTTCAGGGATGATTCTCACCCCTGAGCTGAGTGCCACAGACTGGCAGGACGGCATATGTTTTACAACAGCACCAGCTAGACAAGGAGGTTATGAATTATTATATTCACCATGGCAGAGACAGACAGCAGTTCTTTCTGTTCTCCGTCTGTCCCGTGGAAGCCTCCGTCTCCTCTTCCTGCGACGTGTCACAGCTCAATTGCAGCCCCCGGCCCCCGGCTGGGCCGGCCCACAGTAATTAAACTACATCGCTCTGCCTTATGAGGAGGTCGCCCTTTTTCTCTCTTTGGCTTGTCTTTTTCTCAGCTCCATCTTTCCACCTCTGTTGTTCTTTTCCTCTTTAATGGACCAGTTTCACATTTTGGGATATGACGTTGGCTCTCTTTCAAGTTAAAACAAATGACCAACCAGTAACTCAAGACCGCACAAATCCACAACAACGAGTTTAGTGAGCTTCAGCCACGCTATCTGTAGCTTGTTAGCTTAGCATGGAGAATAGCTGTATTCTCCATGCTAAGCTAAGCTGACTGGCTGGTGCCTGTAGTTTTTTTTGCCACTAGGCGAGAAAGCAAGTAAGATCCCAAAATGTCCGAGTATTCTTTCACGCGGCGTTGCAACTTGTTAGCTGTGACAGTTTCCTATTTTCACATCCCAAAGCAACATCAAGTCTTATATCTGACGAGTCGCGCTTGTGTTCAAAATATTGTCTCCCGGTGAGCAAGTCAACCATTGTGCTCAGTCGTCCATCCAACCGGAAGGAAGTGTCACATTTTTTTTGCCCGAAGAACTTGAACAGGCAAATAAATGCAGTGAAGTGTGTATTCCTTCCTACAGATTTTGATTGGCATGAATCTACGTTATCTCCGTCTTGTTCTGCCATTGTTTCTTCAAGGTTGAGTTGGTTCTATTTTTAAGTCCGGCTGGAAAGGCTGAATCACAAGCTCTGGATTTATACTCGATCAACCGCACAGGCAATAGGTACTATATTGTGTACATATGTGTCTCTCAATTTGTGTGTTTTTTTTTTTACTATGTGGTCCAATCCTGAAGATGAGCGTAAAGCTGTTTGCTCGGATGTGCTTTGATGGTTGTACCTTTTTGTAAAGGAAAGTGGCACATGGGTGTGTGTGTGTGTGTGTGTGTGTGTGTGTGTGTGTGTGTGTGTGTGTGTGTGTGTGTGTGTGTGTGTGTGTGTGTGTGTGTGTGTGTGTGTGTGTGTGTGTGTGTGTGTGAGAGCGAGTGACAGACGATAGCATCGCCCTCCACATTTCCTGTGCCGGTGTCTGGCGCCCACATGGATATATTGCGGTGATGATAAAGGGATATTAAAACTCATGACTTCTTGCTCAGCCTCCCCGACTGTCTGTCCATGCATTCATCCAATCATCCCTTCACGGGCAAACATGCACACAGACACACATACATGTGCATGAGTTATTGATGCTAGACAATAAAAGACACAGGACAGGACATTTTTTCGGAGGGGCTGTGTGGTGGTCCGACAGTGGCTACATTGGTACATATGTATGTTAGCTGTGAGGTATGTTTGAGTTACCCATTTATTTTATTCCAATGACAATAAATACATTCAGATTGGTCCCACTCCCGATGCGTCATTCCACAGCGTGGTCAGTGCTCCTGGGCGTCTGACATCAGAGCATGGAGACACCACCTACGGCGTCATGGATTGAAGCTGTGGGTGCACTGACCGGGTTGTTTGACGCATCGGAGTGAAAATGTGTCTGTACACCTGACCTTTGTGTGGTTGGTAGGAGGGCAATACATCACTAATGTCTCTTGAATAACTGGCCCCTGGCTTCCTGTCATTCTGGAAAAAGAGCCCTGAGGTAAAGCAAGCCGAGTATCCCTGGAACATGAGTGGTTTCCCACAATAATTCAAGGGTGTTGTGAGAGAGTACTGCGCGATTACTAGGACGATGTGTGTTTGCATTAGTCACACCGCACTTATGGCGCAAGTAGACGTAGTAGTAAGAGAAGTAGTAGTAACTGTAGTAATAGTTACAGAAACCAGCCGTGAGGAAATATTGGAACGTATATTTGATGAGAGAGCAAGAGAGACTGGAGGTGAAGGTTTCAGCACCATGGAGAGGGACGGCAGCACTATATTATGGATCATTAAAGCCAAAGGGAACTTAAGGACTGTGGACTTATGTCACCAGGCATATTAGTATAAGAGGGGAATTCTTCCATGAAGTGCAGGACTGCTGTATCTGACATCTAGATGGATATGTTACCATTTCATCAAATGAGCCTATTTACAACTTGCTATAGATAAGAGTGAATCTAAGTACAAGGCTTCTGGATCTACTGTGACTGTGACTACTTGACGTATTAATGCATGTATGCTTATTCCTGTTGAGGTGTCGGTATTCAGTCTTTTCATGCGCTCTTTTATAGTGCTCATCAATATTTGATCTCTACCTCGTCCCTCAGCGCTTATCCCTCTCTTTAACGGTTACTTCCTCTGACTGCTCATTTCTAAATCTAGGTTCCCTACGTGGGGCTGCAAATTGTAAAACAATACTATAAATATAATTCTCAATTTTCATATGGGAAAGTATTCTAATAAGACAATTTCAAAGTATTTAGAAATCAATCACTGTCTGAGAATTTGAACAACTGCAAAGCTTGTGCATGAAATGTGTATAAAACAATATATTCCGTATTACATAGCAGGCACTGTCATCCAGCAGACTGACTCACCCATAATGATAATACGCACAGATGTGCTTTATTGGTTGCCATGCCAACTAGTTCCCAGGGAGCGATAATCGACCTTTCTTGTTTTTTCTACTTATCATCCTCTATGTGTGTGTGCGTGCGTGTTTGCTGCATTTCTGTCAGTTGTGAGTGTTTGCCACCCGCTATATGAAAGCCATTGTACTCCTGAGGATTTGGGCTCCCGAAGGTCCTTTACTGAGAGGTTTAAAGGAAATACCCTTATAGGATGCTATAAACAATGCAATCTACACTTGCATGGATGTTTAGAAAAAATAAAAAAAAACATCAGAATCACCGCTGTTTTTTCGGCGAAAGAGAAACTAAATGGGTGTGATCATCATGGTAGTTCCTTAGTGCTCTTGGATTGATTGTCTCAACCCAAGTTTGACAAAGAGAAAGCTTCCCAGAATAGACACTGAAAAAATGTGGTACAAGTGAAGTATTTGAATAAGTTAGCTGGTCAAGTCAAACATGTAGGAATGTTTACCTCTTCAGGTCGACATCAGGATCATTTATCATAATTATTATTGCCTCCTCCTCCCTCTTTTCATACCCCCCCCCCCACCCCCGCTATCCCCCTCTCCTTTGCCTTGGGCATGTGGGTTTTTTTCTGTGTGTTTCAGCGGAGCACTTAAGTCTCCTTTGTACAGCCTGTAATGAGGGCTGCCAGCTGTGTCTCAATGGCTAGTGCACATACACACACACCCGACACACGTGGCACTCCTCCACTTATAGGCAAGGGCAGATACGATGTGGTCATCCTATAGGCAGTATGTGTGCTTGTGTGTGGGAGAAGTTGTGTTTGTGTTGAAATGCTTTTCCTTGCCCTTCAAAGATCCCACTTACGGCTGAGCAGCAGAACAGATTATACATAAAATACCTTATATAGTGTTGTGTTATGAATTCTACAGAATAGAAATATTGCAGAAGTTGTAACGGTGCTGACTGGGTGTTTCTGCCTGTGTGTGTGTCTGTGTACAGAATCCTGGCCACGGTGGGTTCAGACTTTGATCTGCGAACACTGCGAGCAGTGAGAGTGCTGCGGCCCCTGAAACTTGTGTCAGGAATCCCCAGTAAGTACCTCAACACTGAGTATATTGTCATTTCAATGATTGTATTGTGGACAAAGGAAAGGAAAAATGATTTTGTTGCACTGCTCTGATTGGAGCTTAAATGGATAGGACTCCACCCATAGCAGTTCTCCACCTTTTATCTTTGTGTTTGTTGCTTTAATGTGTTGATTTAAAATACATATATTACTTCTCTGCCCTACATATTAAAAAGCGCTAAATGTTTAATCTCGCAGGGAGATCACCAACTGGACAACACTGACAGCCCATCCTTTAAGGCCTCCCTCTAAAATGATGTTTGGCCATTCTAATGTTATCATTACTGATAGAAATGAACAGAATAACAGAAATGAGAGCCCAGGTGCAAAATCTGCTAACACTCCCCCCCCCCCCCCCATCTTTTCCTGTCCCTCAGGTCTCCAGGTGGTACTGAAATCCATAATGAAAGCCATGGTTCCTCTGCTCCAGATCGGCCTGCTGCTTTTCTTCGCCATCGTGATGTTTGCCATCATCGGGGTGGAGTTCTACATGGGCAAATTCCACACCACCTGCTTCAAGAACGAGACCGGTGAGAGCCACAGCCCCTCCGTTCGAACGACAACACCGGCTATCGGCTGAGCCGACGCCAGGAGAAACTTTCTCTTCCTTCGGCTGTGTTCCCAGCGTTGTATTACACTGCGTATCAACGCAGACGCGCATCAATGATTCACGGGTCTGGTGTTTATGTTGCTTACGCGCTGGCAGGCGGTGAGACTATATCAACCCAACAAACAAGTGCACAGCAGAATTTCTTAGAATTTCTGGCAGTCATTTTTCACATGTTGATTTTGATGGATGTTCTTTTCTCAGTCGTGGTACCTTATAGCACTGCTTGCTGTTGGAGGAGAGCGGCGTCTCATCAGCAGTGTTTTAAGAGTTTTAACTCCTTAAATATGAACCACGCTGACTATTTGAAAAGGGAAATTAGGCTATCCAGGTCGGTGACATTATTTACATTAGTTTAAAAGGATCTGTGTCCTTTTCTTTCAGTTTCAGCAAGTGTTTCAAAGAAATAATTCGTAACCCTCAGAACTTTTCAATTTGGAAAAACTTTACTCTTTATATTCATTGAAGACAAACATACTTGCTCTCAACAACTGTTGTACTAAACCAAGAATTAACAACACATCCTAATTTCGCCTATGATTACATTTTTTGCTATGATGAGTTCTTTTCATTGAAACCATCAGGAAGGCTTACCTAATGTCCCTCCGTCATCTTGGTAACAATAGCTATGAATGCTTTCACGCTCTTATTTTTATTTTTTTAACATTTGAAAAGGAAACCACCAATTAACTGTGAGAGGGCCCAAGCAGTGTGAACTCCATCCCGAGTCCGTCACACTTGAAACGTGTCGCAAGTCCCCTCTGCCACACCTCAACCTTTCCACCACACGTCATCAAGGCGCTACGCGTTGTCTGTGAAATCAAAAAGAGAGGAGAGAAAGCAACAAAACCCATCTCTGATAAATCCCAGCCAGGTTACTATCGCTGTCATTATCACACGGAGCGGTTTAGTAATTGAAGAAAACACCATCAGTCTGCTCGGCTGCGTTGACCCATTGCATAATGCAGCGTTGAAAAATGCCGATGGGGCTTTATTTGCTCACTGCTGGTGCCGTAGTGTGAAGGTGTGACTCGAGGCTCGTGGGCGGGCCCAGCTGTAATATGTGTGTATTCCTCTGTCTGCGTGTGCGTGCGTGTTTCACCCAGTTGGGGGGCTCGTAGTGGTGTGAGCAGTTGTGACAGCTTGCTAATGTACAGTACGTGTGTTATGCAAGTTATTTTAGTCACACAGTCACAGCAGGATTCGATGAAGATGAGCAGCACCGGTAACAGCTTTCTGATCGTGTTTGTGTGTGGGTGTGTGTTAGCCGCCTTGTGGAGACATCAATCTCATTACAAAGACACATTGTGGGGACTTGTCTTCCTTTTGGGAAATGAATGGGGACAAAAGGCACGTCCTGTAAATGTCAATTGTTATATTTTTAGCTGTGAATCATGAGCATAATGCTGGTTCAAGACAGGTTTGTTGACCATTTGTTTGAGTGTTTTTTCTGGCTGTCCCTTCACTTGAGCTCAGAGTAATTCAAGCCGTTGGCGTTAGTTCTTTGCACAGTAAAACATTTGACCTTCTTTCCCTTTTATTCTCACTGCTGACACTTTTCCTTTAGATGCATGATAACTTCTTGCTATAAGCCGTTTAATTAGTTTAAAGACAGAACAACGGGAGGATTATATTTTCAAACATTCCCTAGTAACATTAATGTACTACTACTACTCCATTACATCAACATTTCGGCATCAACAATAAATCTTTTTTGTACTTTTTTGTACTAACTGCTTTAATATTTATGGCCATATCTATAAAAAAAAGTTGATGGCGCACTATAAAATATATTCTCTATCGAAACACTTCCTAAAATAATATTTATTTATTACTAATAAAATATATACATATATATACATGTTTATATGTACCCATACATATCTATAAGATAGATAGATATATATGTATGTATATTACATCATATGTATATGTGTTTGTATATACGTTTTTTTTTTTTTCCTCTCCAAGATATAGAAAAATCCGACAATGATCGCTAATTATTTGGCCAATGTATTCCCACCGTGAACTGCACCTGGTAGCAGAGAATAGAGCCCTGAGTTGTTCCCAAATGGTCTGTGGACGCTGAGTCCGGCTGACACAGCACCTGTCAGTAGGAAGGAAAGGGACACAGTTTACTGGAGTGACACCAGAGGGATGTTGGCTGTGCAATCTGGCTCCGCAAATCATCGTTAAAACTTGGCTCGTGTTGTGGTCGTGGCACTATCCCTCATGAAACTCTGGGCGCACAAGGCGTCTGGTTTACTCAGCGCGTCCATTCGTTTTCCTCTGATCCCCATCTGCTGATGTGTGCCAGCACATCCTTTAGACAAACTATCAGCACCCTGCGAGTGCTCTGGTTCCTCATCACTTCATAATCTCTGAAAAATTCTGCACACATTCGAGACACATCCTGCTAGTTATACCACCGCCATGCTAAGCTAACTAACCTTTTGTGTGTATTCTAGTTTTTGTCTTGGTTTACATAATAACCTGAAGTGCACATATAGTGTATCTGTGTAACTAACATCAGGAAGGGATCTGTGAGCTGGCAGCTGTAGATTTGATGTAGCGTGGTGCTTTGGTTCCAATGTAAGACCAGGTGGGCGTACGCCAGAGATCTCGGTCTGATTTAGCCAGAGGGAGAGGCACCCAAAAGGGAAGTAGAGCGCACTGTGATTGGTGAGGTATCACTGACGCATCCTACTCTTAAGAGTGACTTCTCAACAAAACTGACAAAACCTTTCCATGCACAACCTGAACATAGTCAACTCCGTTAACATGAAGATTGTAGCTTTGTTTTATCAATTCTTCACCTTGTCGTGATCGCATCCTCATGACTATACATGAGCAAACAATTAAAGCCAGTTTTTTAACATCACAGTCATTCTTCTTTTTGTATGGTTAGTAGCTACTATTTGTAGCTCTCACTTTTACTTCCTATTACAGTACAGTCACACCAAAGTTTGTCTTTAGATATGATTTTGTCAAGTCATTCAAATTTATTTCTGGTGAAAGAAGTTGCAACATGGGATTCATGGGGGTGTATGTGACCCAAAATCCAATGAATATGAACATGTGTCGCCGTAGCACATCCCAGATTTTAATTGGCTTTCATCACATCGTCACGTAATTAGCCCTCCTTTTGGCAATGATCTGATCAGCCATTACTTGCATGTTTTTAGCATTCTTAGGTCTGTTAAGAGGTCAACCTCTTTTATGGGCTCGAGGTGAAAATCCACCTCATGCCTGTCAGCTCGGCCCCACAGACCTCGCAGTGTTTTGCTTCCTCTATTTGAAGACTGACAGTAGACTGATGACCTGAAGTGAGGGGAGTCATAAATACGTGCACTGGGGAGTTTACTGGTCATGATCTTCACCGTACCGCTGGGTCACCTGGGAACCCTTAAACTACACATCTGCCCAGTTTTGTAGTATGTCTTTAACGTATTTTAGTACAACGCACAGAAAACAATTGAAATTAAAATTAGAATAACACATGTTTTATGTAGCAACCGGAAAAGGGTTATCTGACAAATAGATAGCTTCCAGATGTTCTCTGTGGAGAGGGGAAGCTGTGACACTGGCTGCCGGCTGGGTTCCTCAGCTGTGATAACAGTGTCGCTCTGTCGGAGCATGCATGGCACAGCCATGGAGCAAAGCTCTAAATTCACCCGCCCATCTTCGTACCCGGCCTTCACCTGTGGTCACAAGCTTTGTGCGATGACTGACAGAATGAGGCTGCGGCCACACTCTGCATGACGCGGCTGGGAGGTCAACGGTCTCCACTGAGAGGAACCACTTGAAGTCGGTGGGGCGCGTGGTGGGAGGTCCATGGGTGTCTTTCCCTTTGGGATTGGTACCGGCATTACTGATGACTGCCTGTGAGGAGATCATGCGCAGCAGCTGGAGGAAGTGGCAGGGGAGAAGGACGTGTTGGCTGCTTTGCTGTCCCTGCTGCAGACCTGACCCACATTCTTCTTTTTAGCATTTGGGAAAAATGCCACTAAAAAACACATTACATTTTTTCAAGCATTCTTTTACTTGTGTTAAAGAATCTATCAATTCATCCTCTCATGTAATACACACTTTTGTTAGGTTAGGAGACATGCATATCCAAACTCATTCCCTGTCTCTCTTTATTTCTCTGTTGGTCAGGTGAGCAAGCAGCACACTGGCCTTGTGGTCTGGAGCCTCCGGCGAGGTTGTGTCCCGACGGGACCCAGTGCAGAGAGTACTGGACCGGACCCAACTTTGGCATCACCAACTTTGACAACATCCTGTTTGCCGTGCTTACCGTGTTCCAGTGCATCACCATGGAGGGATGGGTGGACATCCTCTACAGCGTAAGTTTACTAAGCACCTTTTTCTTGTACAAAGTGTGTTTTTCTTTGCAAGTTATTCATCAGCATCATGAATCGTATCGCCTTTGCTCAGTTATTTCTCACCCCCCTTTGGCGGGGCTTCAGCATTTCTTGCTTGTTGGTGTGTTTGTTAGTTGAGTTCAAGGACTTTGGTCCAGAGTAGCTGTGGTTTGCCAGATTGGTACAGTTATTCATGGTCCTCAGACAATAATTATTTAAGATCAAGGTTCCATATCGAAGTGGTCAAATTTACCTGAACCAACACAATGGATCTCGAAAAAAATGACGACTGGATTTATTGAAATAAATAGTGGAATCGTTTTTTTGACAGCGATTCTTCCGAGGATATCCCCACTGTTTGAAATTACCTAAATCGTTGGATGCAGCTTTTTTTATTGGACAGCGGAGGAGCGGTCTTCTGCCATTTGTTTATTGGTATGGTCCCTATTATATAAACCATGCTGATCAGATTACTTGATGGCTCTTACAGCAGCAACACTCTCAGGACACACTTCATTTTAGCACTACTGCTTGTGGTTATGGGGTAGACTGAAAATGATAAACAGAAATATGTTGTATTTGCCACTCATCATGTCAATATGTGTGGATTTAATGACCATTTCAGCCTTCGGGAACCAGCAAGGTCCTTTTGAAATCATAAATCTATGAATAATTCATTTAGAGGAGGATTTTGTTTGTCAGCATACACACTTTTTCTATCACAAATGTCCTTAACATCCCCATGAAGACACATTCCTGAGAGATACCAACCACAGAACTGTGGCGTCTCAAGGGATTTATATACATTGGAAATAAAAAGTCTGCACACCCTTGTTAAAATGCTAGGTTTTTGGTTTCTCCACCTTTAATGACCTATAAAGTAAACAATTCAATTGGAAAAAAATCATTAAATCTTTTTGGGTGCAAAAATAAAAAAATTAAACTAATTTCCTTTTTTTTTTTTTCAAGAATAGATCACATATATGGTGGAAGAGTTCTGACGTTATTCTTCTTGACCTCATTTTTTTCCATAGCAAAAAACTGGCATTTTAACAGGGGTGTGTTTCTATAGCCACTGTAAGTACGCTCGTGATGTAACTTTGGACGTACGACTCTGTGGCTAAATGGCGTAGTTCCACATGAGGTCTTTTAAAATAACTCAACTTTTCGTCTGACCCATCTTTCACCCTTATCACGTTCAGCAGACTTTCTCTGAAATGCATTATATTTTACAGCAGAAATGTTCTGGCCATGTGACTTGTGTGTTAGACAACTTGGTCAAAGGGGCAACACCCCCCGAGCTTTCCCTTTGTCAACACCCAAACAGCTCTGTTATCTCAACGCTACTCTGTTCTTTTAGGTCAGCCAAAAAGCATGATAGTGCTTTTCAGAAATGTACAATCCAAGAATGCAAAAAATAAAACAATCATCCCTAAAGGATGAGTGACATCCAACCAGGCAGAACCAAAGCGTCTGGGATTAGACCACGATGGCCGGCTTAGCTAGAGCTCCATCTTTTATTTTTACCAAGTTAATGTCTGCAAAATTACACCGTCCGCTTGCATAAAGATAAAAATAAAAATCCCTAGTGAAAGTGTAATGAAAGGCTGCTTCTGGCACATTGAGATGGTTTCATTAAGGGAACAGACAACAGAGGAGAATTAAGTTGTCCTTCAATTCAAAAACCCCTTTGATCAATGGCTTAAAAGTACCTACGCACCAAGACACACACTCTGCCAACCAGTATGCGAAGATCTAATCCAAATGCTCATTTCTCATTTACACACACACACAAAGAGTTGGGAGTGGCCCAACGGGGGCGTCCAGCATCGCAACAGACCTCTGCTCATTCAGAGGATTTGTACATGGGACATTTAGAATGCACATCCCTTGACAAATAAGGGGAAGCAGACGTGCGTGGGAGGTGTGGCTGATAGACACATGTTTATATAGAGAGCGATGGTCTGTTGATGTTAGGTTGGAAAAAAACTAAAAACGAAGTCGGATTTACCCAAAAGACAATTATCTCAGTGTGGACTGTTTTGTTCACGGACATTACCATTATGGGCAATATATGACTTTTCTAGATACATTTTACTTTCCAACTTTTTGCAATATTAGAGTCTGTATTTATGTGCCTATTCCTTTGTCTCGGACATTTCATCTTATTCTTTTCACCCTAAAGGCCTCTCCATTTCCTTTTCTTTTAGCTTGTCCTCCGCTGCTTCATCTTTTTTTGTTACCAGGAGACGGCAGATAACTGTCACTACATTGTGAGCCATTTGTAGATTCATCTTACCCCCTTCTCCTTCTTCTTATCCTTGTCGTGCTCCAAACCTCCCCCGTTGCTTTTTGTGGCTCATTATCCTAAGCGGTGCCAACCCACGCTGCTGCGATCCGAAAATGCCTTTTCTCTTAGTCGGTACTTTTTCTTTGTATTTCATTCTTTTCCTTCTCGTTGTGCTCAGGGTCATTTTGATCCAACGGATATTTTTACTGCAACCTTTTTGTGTGACGTGCTGTACTTCTTCCAGCCCACCTATTCAACCAGGCACTATGTACTGTTTGGTTTTACATTTCAGTCCTATCCATTCTTCTCTCATATGTATGCATCATGGGGTAGTTTTCTGAATTGCCTTGTAGAGACCATTCACACGTCCCGTTGAGGCAAAGAAAACACATTTTGGGACTGTTTGGATTTGCCTGATTGCTGCTCTCAAGGTTTTACTTCACCACACACAGACGGCTTTGAGCTCATTGGAGAGTGCTCTAACAGAAGTTTAATACCTTGCTGACCATCCGTCTGTCGAAGCCTCCGGTTGCTCACTCACTGTGTCGGTGAATCATCCCCCTACAGGCCTGTGTGTGCAAAAAGCGCCAGCGATCCATTACAAGCACCGGGGCCATGGAGAACACTGTTTCTGACTGGCTGACAGGTGTGAATGCTCATGACACCTCAAACTAAACTCCAATCGGCAGTTGAATCACTGGTGTAAATCCACGAGCTCTGTGTATCTTACAGGTATATCTAACAGCTAAAGCCATTATATTTTCTACAGGCACAATCACAAATTGAATGTCACTTGCCAATGTTGAGTAAGTTCCAGGCATCGGGTTGACTTAACGAAACCGAGAGGACTTGTGTTTTTGTTGTTTTACCCTAACCTAACCTATTGACATGTAAGCAATGGGACACAATTTGGACGTGAGAACCATCCTCGTGTCTGTTCAGAGTCAGAGTAGTCTTAGCAGGCTTTGGTTGAATGCAGGGTAATAGTCGGTGCGAAGAGCAGGAGAGGCAGAGACCATCAGGCGAACGCAATCTGAGATCCCACCTAGTCTGAGGATTACGTTTCTTTATTGAAAACCGGCCATTTAAGAGACAATCAGGGAGTCAGATCAAAAGCCAAAGGGCCACAAGAGGGAAAAATGTATCATCCTAGAAGATGTAGTAAATGGTGGTTATTGCTTTTTTTTTTTTATAGTAGTCCGTGAGACACATTTCTTTGATCCATTTTGATTGACAGTACTGTTGGCACCTCTTAAAGGAGCTGTAACTCATCATCTGAGGAGGGAAAAAGTGTCTGGCGAAGAATGTGGACAACGGAGCCAATGAAAGCAGGAAACCATGACGACCTTATTTCGTGAAAATGAGCGAATGAGTGTATTTGTGTCAATGCAGTGGAGCTTGCATGCCATGTTTGCATTAATATCCTCAGTATACAAATGTATATGCACTCTTTTCATAGAAGCAGGGTTGGAGGGGTCAAAGTCTAAAACGCTGCGAGGCCACAAGAGCGTCCAGAGGCTCTATTCTGCCGATTATATACTTTTCGCGTGACCCTGCATTAACCCTGCAGATTGATGACTATGCTACCTCTGCCCAGAGGGGGATTGCTCTAATGGTGCCAAATAAAATGCAGAGTACTTCTCCCCATTATTACCACCCTCCCGTCCAGCACCCCACCCCCATCTCCATCTTCCCTCATAACTTGAGGCCTCCCCCCGGCGAGGCCACGTCCCAGCATCCTGTGGTCTCCCAGCAGCTGCTGTCTGCCATGTTATTCTTCAACTGAAGGGAGTGGTGGCAACGAGGCCACATTCAGACCGACAACATGCCTCTCATGGTGTGAGCGTGTCCTTGCAGTTACCAGTGATAAGATGAAATACCAAATCAGGAAGACACCCTGATTTAAAATAACACCATACAGATTTTGTGTATGAAAAAATATATTTTTATGTGCATGATGCATGGAGAACTGGAGCACTCAAATAGGATGCATGGATGTAACATTTTTACTATTATTTTATATATTACCCCATCGTGAGTGTTGAATACAAATATCCAAATCAACTGCATTCTCAAATGAAATGCAAAACATCCATATTTGAAACCGATGGCATTTTTCCCAATTAATGATTTCCCGACAGGACCTTCAGCAATATGCCCCTTGCATTCATTAAATACAGTCCTGTTATTACGTCTCATTAACGTGTGGGCCACAAAACCGAACAAACTAATGAACAACTTTAATGAGAAAGAATGTGTGCCACACAAGCTCCGGTGTGTACTGCATGCTGAGGCATTTGCATCCTGACCGAGTCTGTAAACTAGCACTAACTACAGAGGTCACGGATCACAAAATGCTCATAAAAATAGTTTTTGTCACCGCTGTTTCTAGGTCGTCAATTCGGAAGGTACTAATGAAGCAACAGTTTTGCCGATTAGGTATAACGCATTTTTGCTTACAGCATGGACACAGTAACCGTCTCTTTGAAATCAACAGGAGGTGACTTTTTATAGACAAAGTGCTCTCACGCTGAGGAACACGGCGAGACCAGCCTGTCCTGATACATGATGAAATTCTAGTCTTCACACCCAAAGAGAGCCCGGCAACGACAGAACGCCACCAAACTGAACTCTTCTTGAATGGTGAAAGGAGCAGAGGAAGAGAGGAAGGAGTGCAAATGGGGAGAGATGG